AACCTATTGACTTGCTACTGTTCTGGTGGAATGTTGGCCCTCCTGAACTCAGGCTCCACATTACGGTGTGGCACACTGTCATGAGAATGTGGTTTTCTTTGTTTTAAAAAGGAAAATTAAAAAAAAAAAGGAAAGACGACGGGGGAATTCTTGTGCAGTGTCATTTTAGTCATCCCGCTCACGTGACCTAGAGGGAGAGGAAAGTTGTGGCAGAAGAGGGGAAGCGGAAGGTGATTCTCACGGGGGAGGATGGAATGAAAGGCAGTCAGGGACTTGAAAAATGTGATTTTTGTCGAGAGGGCTGACTGGCACACAGTCCTAGCGCAGTTGGATCCCCTTGGCTCACCTGCAAAATTCCTTGTGGGTGGGGGAAGGATGAGATTAGGAGGAGAGCTTTTTCACGTACAGCTGTGCTGCGAAAAGCAGCGTGTAGCAAGTTATCTGCATTTTTTGCATAGCAGTTCTTAAATCTTAGGAGTTCAGCTCAGGGGTGGATCAGACCTTGTTTGGAAAAGACTTAATTTCCTCTTTCCATTTCAGGATTATTATTTGCAAATTCTGCTGGCTCTCGGTCTGGTCTCGCTTTAAACACAGTTCCACCACTTTCTTGGAGAGGTGAATCGAGGCTAGGTAGCACTTGGTGCAAGGGAGTCCTCCCTAGGATTACGCTCCGTTTTTTATCTCCTTCCTTTCCTCCCGTGTACCGTGGTTGCACTTTAGCATTCCACCCTCAGCGCCATCCGGGCGTATACGTACTGCACGCATGCCGCAGCGACTCGTAACCGCCACGTGCAGTGCAGGTTTCAGGGCTCGGTACCTTCCCCAGCTTGTCTGCTCTCCCTGGGTTGCTCTGCAGGGTGGCTCAGAGCCACCATCCATTGGTTTCAATTGGAAAGAAAGGAAAAAAAGAGCCAAGTTTTCATCCGCTGTGGCTCTGGCTCTTTTCTGGGCTGCAGCAATGGTGGCTTCAGGGCTGCTGGCACACGTAACCTGCATCTGCGGCCGAGTGTGAGCGTTGCTGTGCGTGTCCTTATTTTGCCCTTCTGGTTGTGCACTACATTCTCACTTAGAGTGCTGAGTGTTTATCTTTATTTTTTTGGAAGTGATGAATGTCATATCATTTTCCTTTATCACTGTAAGATGCTGAAAGCCAGGCTTAGGGGCCTGGCTTTCGTATGCAAACGATGCCAGCTCTGTCAGGCCAAAATATGTTGTTATAGTCACAATGGGAAAATAACTTCTGAGCACAGCTTTGTTCCTGTTCTTGTACCTTGGCAGCCTAAACAGTGAGGTTGAGCACTTTCAGCCTTACATGTAAGATCTAATCAAGCCAAACTCTTCTAAAGGAGCATAAGGCAACACAAATATTCCCCCACAACCAGCCCCTTCTCTCCCCAGTTGTAGTTAGGAACCTTTTAAGTAAAAGAAGCCCTGGTGAAGGGAATGTTTAACAGAAAGGTTGTGGCTGGGGATGTGACTTGGCATCTGCTGCAGTTCAACCCAAGTTGGGTGATAAATGTTTTCTCCAGGCAGGATGACATCCACATGGCAACGTAAAAGAAAGAGATGAAGATTGTGTCTGTCCTTTGTACTGCTGGGCTTTATCTTCCCGCTTATCTTGAGCTGTAGCTCTAGTAATCTTTTTCCTCTCCACCCCTGACTTGATGTAGTGAAACTTGCTTAACCTGCTAAAGGAACAAACCTGCTGGCTGTGATGTGAACAGGTTGCGACTCTCCTTGAGAATTCTGGAGCCTGCTGCTTTGGTTTTGGATTTTTTTCTTTTTCCCTTAATGATCGCATGCCGAGAGCTATCACAGCCCCTGTGATATTTGACCTACACAGTAAAAGTCAAAGGTGCAGTCGGAGTGTCTTCCTGTTTATAGCTCAATAGCTCAGGCTGCTTCCTCTCAAATATGCAAAACTAAACCATGAAGGGATTGCCACATTCCTTGCTGTGGGTACGGATTCTGCTCTCGCTTTTTGGGCATGGCAAAAGTGGAAAGGAGAGCTGCAAGCTGGGGGGCAGCCGATGACTTGGACACCAGCAAAGCCCCGTTGCTGTGGTGCTGCACCCACAGCAGCGAGCCCTGCCTTCTTGGCATGCCTTGTAGTGCAAACACGGCTGGACTGCGCCTGGGACCTGCCGGAGACGGGATGTTTGCAGGCATTAGGTCATGCCAGGAAGAGGCGCCAGGTTGGACGGGCGCTAACCTGGAGGTCTCAGCACTTTCTCCCATGAGTCCGCTGCGGATGTGCCATCGCACCCCTCCCAAGTCAGAGTAGATCCATCGGAACGGGCAGAGTTCAACAGGTAGGCAAACAGCAGGAGGAAAGAACTTAGCCCTAAGGAAGCTGGTTTGCATAGGTAGCTACTAAGCAGGAGTTCTGCATGCGTGTTACTGGCAGAAAAGAAACTTTAGAAGAAAACAGGAACAAAAACGTTTAATGCCCACGTTTAATGCATAGCAGGGTTTTTTGTTGTCTGTTTGTTTTTTGGGTGAACGTGATTTAGCATGACTGCTTTTGCTCTCTAGCGATCTGAAAAGTAACAGGCCGAGCAGCATTAGCTATGCAGCAGCCAAGCTGCCAGGAGGTTAAGCATGTGTGTGTCTGGGGCGGAGGGACAGACAGGCCCATGCAAAAGCCTCTGTCTCACTTTTGAGAGCTCATTGAAACTGGAAAGCAGTCTTTACCAAAAAGACACAAAAAAAAAAAACCCAACCAAAAAAAACCAGCGACCTACAAACCATCTTCCAGATTTTGCTTTGCCTGTGCAATCGAAAACTACGTCTTGTTGGTCACAGATGCTTTCTGAGGTTTATCTTCAATCATTTTGGGCAGAAGCCCTTTGAACAAATAAGTTTTCTTCTCCCGTATTCATGTGTGAATACAGATGGCTGCTCCTCATGCTGTTGATTTATCACCCGTAGGAAGCTCTAGCTAGCACGAGAAGTTAGATCAGTGCAGTGGGGGGGAGACTAAAGAATATGAGGCAGCACAGTGCCTGTTGGTGCCTTCCCTGCAGATTTCCTGAGACCAGGTAGCACTGGATTCATGCAGATAAATCCAGTTATACCATAAATCCCTTAGTTTTGGTGCCTGTGGTGGCAGGGCCTAGGCAGGGGGGCGCGCTGCACCTGAGGGGGCTGTGTCCGCGCCCTGGCTTCTCCCTGGGTCCTAGTGAACCTGGAGAGAGCCAAACCCTCAGAGCTTCAGCCTTCCTTCTGCTCCGAGCGGGACGATGGGCAGGCAAGGAGGTCAGATGAATTCCGCCGTGTTTCCGTGATGCTGTGCCCAACCTGCCAGGCGCGTCTGCGCATGGATGCTCTCTCCTCCCTGAACCTCCCACGGTGTGACTGACAACTGTCACCAGTGTCCGTCCACTGTTTGTGTGACCAGTGAGGATTACTGGGGGGCTGGGGAAGTCACGTTTTTCCTCATGTGGACCTGGTCCCCCGAGCAGCCCCAGCCTTGCCGTGCACTGAAAACAGGCGGTGGCGGCCATTTTAGTCTTCATCGGTTCTGGTATGTGTGGTGGTTTTGGGTAGAGGCTGTTCCTGCATAACACCCTCAGAAGCCTGCCTGTAGTTTGAGAGGGTAATTTAGGTACCTTTTTTTTAAAAAAAGAAGAAAAGAGTTCGGTGATTGTGAAAGGAAATGTTAAAAACCAGCAGTGTGTGAGGAGACAGCCGCCCCAGCAGCTCCAGTGGAGTCTGCCCGTGGGTCAGTTTGGTCCAGCGTGTAATCGTGAAGCATCATGACCTTGGCGTCCAAAACTAAAACGGATTTTGTCGTAACACCCAAGCAGTTTTGAGGACATACAAGACTTGTCTAGGTTCCAACATTCTCTCATGTTTGAACACGATAGCGTGCAGTCGAGTTAAATGGCACAGTCCCGATCCGGGTTGTGGGTGTGACTCCTGAAGGATGCGCCCAAATGCCATTAACATTGTCTCTCTCGTGCTGCTTTGAAGTCAGTCCTGTGGACAAAGGTCAGCTCTCTCCTGCAATCCCATTTCTGTCTATTGGAAGCAAAAAAATGGCGTTGCATGTAGGAGTGTAAATTTGATTTTTTTCAAAAGCATTGTAAACTTGAAGTGAGGCTAAAAGGCCCTACTCTTTTTTTTTTTTTCAATTAACAAGGAGGAACATTTACAATTTGGGCATTGAGTACTCAACATAAGAAGCATGGGAGCAATAGCTTAATTTAACCAAAGGGAACCAGACAACAGTGTCTTCCTCAGGTTGCAAATACAGAAAGCCGAGAGACAAGCGGGCCAGGTATATGGGTATTCATGAGATTCCTTCCTGAGCTGTTTTATCCCTCTCCCCTTCCCAGTGCCTTTGTGACAAGAAATAGTTGTTTTCCTGGGGAAGCCGGTTTGTGAACATGCCTTGGTAATACGGAGTTTTGCAAGCTGTGCCTGCTGTGGCTTCACAGAGTGACCAGATACATCTTGACTTCAAAGCTGCAACTGAAATTTGATATTGGGGTTCACCGGCATGTTAAGGGTGGGAAGGAGACAAATGTATTTAAGAAGCGTTGCTCTGACATTGACGTATACAGATCCATTTGGGGTGCTGTCTGAAAGGAGAGCAGCTGAAGATGGGAGGCTTTTTTTTGCAGTGGGAGAAGTGAATGCTATGCTGCAGGCTTTTACTAACTGCCACAAGGCTGGGAGGCCGGGCGTGTAGACGGCTGTGCAGTGTTAGGCAGAAGCAGGGCCTCTCGGGTGATGGGGGCGGGCATGGTGCTGGTGGGGCTAGATTGTCACGGGGCAAGTGCCAGGCTGTGGGTTGGGGCATGGGGGAGAGCTACCAGGCTCCTTGCCATGGCCTTGTGTGGCCTCCGGGCCTGCAAAGGGCCTGTGCTGGATCAAGCCATCTCTGCCAGTATCATTTAAAGGCAGACCTTAGAAGCGGCATGGGCATTAAAATTAATGTGGACTTTCTTCCTCGGTGTGCCTGCTGACACTGTCTTCTTCCCCCTCCTGCTCAGGCACATGAAGATTCACGAGAAGGATCCGAACAGCACAGTGAGCACGACTCCCCCGTCGCCGCTGAAGCGCAGGCGATTTTCTTCGAAACGGAAGTTTAGTCACGATGCTGAGATAGACAGAGAGGAGAGAACACCTGCAAAAAAGGTTCTTTACGGGGCACGAAGCCAAAGACGTTCCTGGCTACCTCCTAAACTGTCAGCTGTTGAGTTCATGCATCAGCATAGGACTACTAAAATATGGTTTTGATACAGCCCTGAATAGATGTTAAGATGCCATGCTTTTCCTTTGTGGCCAACACTGTTTTCTGAGATTGAAAATTAATTTCTAATTTCAGAGATTGAAAGAATGCAATTTTTGAAATTCTTTATTGTTTACATTTTTAGATTTGGTTATGATTTATATTAGATAATGGATGTTGAATGACAAGAGGATGAACTACTGCAACTTTTCCCCTAGTCTGGTGTTTTTTTCCTCTCCCATTTAATTCATAGTAGTCTTGCAGTATAGTGATTTGAACTTTTGAAAAGAAACCAGAATTTGCTTCAAAAGCAGCAACAACTTAAGTCTGGTTTTGTCTTGATCCGGAGGGGAAAACAAAAATCTGTAGGATGATTCCCTGTCACAGTAGCATAATCCTGCATTATTGCAGTTGCAAGAGCAACCAAAAAATAATTATTTGAAGGCTAGATGTTTCCATTAGGGTTTTGTTTATGAAATATTTTAGTGCATTTCAGTCATTTACACAAAATGTATGGTGGCTGCCAAACTTAACTCGGCCCTTTCCACTTACTATCTCTAAATGGCAAACTAGCAGCAGTTCCATTTAGCTCAGTATCCCTTGTTCTGTGCATGCTTTTCTCCCTCTAATCAGAAGAGGGCTATAGGAAACATGCAGAAGTTCACTGCTTTTCCCTGGACCACTTGAGTTAGCAGTTGGCAGTACCTCAGGGGCATAAATAATTTAGGCTGACAGCTCGCCTGGTTTTTCTGAAGGGGGAAGAATGCTAGCTCAGTGGTACATAAACATACGGGTTTATAAGTTGTTCAGATCACGGTCCTTCATTAAAACTGATGTATCCGTGACTTAGCTGCACACTTTATCTTCTGCTGAGCCTCCTTGTCTGTCGCGCACGTTCTCGCACGGGCACAGGGGCTCTGTCACTTACCTTCTCTCTCTCTTGCTGAAATGAGTCATTTCTGGTCGCCTGCAGCGAAGTTACCTATGAAGCCTGCTGCTTCGATTTTAAGAGAAGGACTTCAAATGGATTGCATGTTTCGTTTGTTGCTTGAAATTTGGTCTAGTGAGGTTTTCTTCTCTCTAAAGGTTGTCGAGGATGGTCACTCTGGTGAAGGGGATAAGAAGGCTGAGGAGGAAGCTTATCATTGTCCAGTGTGTTTCAAAGAGTTTTTTTGCAAGTATGGGCTGGAGTCCCACATGGACACACATCCAGATAATTCTCTGAGGTAAGAAACAATCCTGAAGGTGGTTTTGGTCACCAGATGGCCTGAGGGAGCCTGCTGGGGAGGGGAAGGAGCCATTCAACCCCCTGCACTCTTACCTGCCCGCCTTTCTGATCTTGAACAGGTTTTTTAATGTTTCTGCCTCATCTGATGTTACCAGGGTGTTGTAGGGCTTAATTTTATTACTTTTTTGCAAATATAGGAAATTTTGCCAGTTAATAGCTGGATTGTTTTTAGAAGAAATTAAAGCATCCCTTCACTTCAAACCCTTCACTGTTGTTACATAAAACTGTACAAGGCCCACGCTGCAAAATTTTAACAAGTTGAACTAAAGATGCTTAAAACATGAAGCAAAACTTGATAAAAGCATTCAGGTACCAACCTATGAGATTATTCTGCTTGGGGAGAAGGCGGTGGCTGGATATAAAGGTTTGGCTGTCTGTCGTGGGAGTGAGTAAAGATAGATGAGTTCCTGGTTCCAGACTTTTCACAAAATGTGTTATGCTTCTTTGCCTGCTGAGGTTAGGCAATGATTTGAATTTTGGCTTAAATAAGCTTCTCCTAACAAGGAAAAATTAGTTATTAATTGTTTGGGAAAGTCCTTGGGTGTTGTGTTTTGGTTCAAGTAATCACCCCTGGGACTCCTGATACTTTTTATTTCCTGTTTTTTACCATAGAAAAATGTAGAGCCAGATACATGAAGATATGAAAGAGATATTCCAAGTCTAGTTTAAACGTGTAGAAAAGCTGCTGGTTTAGAAAAGGAGATTGTCCATTTGCAGAAGCTTGTCAGTGTTTTGAGCTTATTTTGGGTCATTGGACTCTCATGATCTTTTCGGAAGGGTGCAGAATTCAGCATCTTGAGGCGTCAACACTCTCTCCTGTATACAGTTTCTTAATAGAATGGCATGGAGCAAAGCCATCCCATTCTACTGAATGGGATAAATTCTATTGAATTTTCCGTTTTTTTTTAATTAGAAAACCTTGGTGAATACATGTAAAACCATTTTTAAAGGCATTGTAAGTGCTGTAATTATTGGGGAAAGGAGTTGGAAAGATCTTTCTTAGATTTGGTACAGCAAATAGTAGTTAATTAAATGGAGTTTGCTGTTTCTGAAGTAAATGAAGTAAAATTTCATTACCGAGCAGAAATAAAACAGTTACTCTCTGGTAAGAGCTCTGCAACCCCCACAAAAGGGAGTCTGCGATAATTTTGCCGATACACTTCATGCTCTAGGGAAGGTGGCTGTCATATTAGGCTTATCCTGGCATTAGCCTCATTTTGAAGCTTCTGTGAAGATAAGCCACTCTGCAAAGTTCCATGCTATGGATCCGAGTGGAGAGGTGGCCTCTCCTGCTTTGAGTTAACAGAATAGATACCCTTCTAGCTTGGCAGCTTTTCCATCTGCTGCAGCAAGACGGAAAGACACACTGGCTGTGCAAACACGCTGTTCCTCTTCATGCAACTCTTTCTCTAGGATTAGGAGACTTGCTTTTGGATAATACTCCTCTGAAACAGATTTTGCTACCCTGGATTGTGTTGGGCAGCAAGGACTAAGATGTGTCCCTCAATCAAAGCCACAAGTGTCAGGCTCTGTGGGCATGAGTGAAGGGTGGTGCTGGGATGCTGGTCCTTATGGACTTGTCTAGATGATGGTAAGGGGGGTTTTGTAAAGTGTTTGCTTTAGTGATTCAAGACATGACAGTGGAGATCAGACAGGACAAGGAAGCTGTAGTTCTCCCTGGTCAGCTAACATACTCTAGTGCAACTTGCCCTGACTCTCTGGTTTGAAACGCACCTTTCGTCCTCGTCTAGACAAGTCAAATGACACTGCTTGGCCCAGTCTAACAGAAAATCCTCTGGTAAGCGGAGCAGTCTGGGCTGCTGTTAAGTTGACTCTTTGATCCCGAAGGAAATGGGTTAAAATCCTTGGCAGGCAGGGGCTGTAATCCCCTGGTCCTCCGGGTTCTGCAGGACTGTAGGATTCAGCAAGATGCACTGAATGTGGTACGCAGCTCTCAGTCCTGAGTTCATGTGACTGGAATGATTCCTTTTGGTGAGGCTTAGGAGTGGTTTTTCGAGTGAGAGAGATGAAGAAAAGAGTATTTTGGTGGAATTATCAGAGCAGGAGGCACGTGTGCACAGGTGTGCTTGTGTCAGGGGAGCGAACTGCAAAATGTTAGAAGGTGTTTGTCAAATCTTGGTGTTTCCTTGTGGTGGCAGACAAGGAGGAAGAACTCTCCTTGAAGTTCAGACGAACAAAAACACGTAGCAGCTGTATTACGAGCAAAAGACGTGGAGCAGAACACGCTCAGTCTCTTTTTATTGCCAGTATTGTAAAAGCAGAGTCACTTGGTGAGGACTCCTGTGAGGCAGGTATCAGATGGGGGGCGTCCCAGAGCGTCTGGCAGGTAGTTTGGAGCTACAGCTCTAGGTAGCCCAGCACAGACGTGACCAAAAGCCAGCAATGCTCAATCTGCCTAGCCGATATTTCCACAGGGCAAGCTTCTGCTCCCCCAGTAGTCAGCATTCGGGGACGTGGGCTTTAGCGCAGTGCATTGCCTTGACGGTGGTACCAGCCTCGCTTCAGGGATGCAGCGAAGTGCCGGGGTGCGCAGGAGCTTCTGCCTGGCCTCTCTGTGGTCCTTTAATCCTGCCATTGTAGTGCTGTTGTGTAAATACGGGCTCTTGCCCCCAGAGCTGTCTAAATCTGTCTGTCCCGGCCCCCCTCTCCCGAGTAGCAGGAAAGGTGAGACTCTCTGGCAGCCCCCGGCTCCGTCTGTGAGCAGCTAATTTACAGGGTGGGCCATTACCCTTCCAGATACTGTCAAATGAACAACTTTAAATCACAGGGTTAGCTGTTCAAAGTCAGATGAAAAGACACTCGGCATCGTCTTCCCCAGTACTGCTTTTCTCATGTAAAGCCCCAAGCGGGGAGCACCTCATTGTTTACTTGCAGCAGAATAAACAATACTTAATCCACTGATTGTGTGAGAGAGGCTCCCGCTCGGGAGAGTATCCCTTGATTATGTAAAATCCTAAATCGTGCATCTTTGTCTCCTAATTACGGTAAGAACTGCCCTGCTCTTGGGAGCAATAATAGGGCCCTTTGTCCCGCCGACAATGGGCTGTGGTGCTGCATCTCCTCCGTGGCATTACCCCCCCTGGTCAGTCTCTGTCCCTTTGAAGCCCTGGGACCTGCACCCTAATTAGTGACATGAGCTGGTCCCAGCGAGGTTGTCTGCGGTCCCCATTAGCAGCGGAAGGTGGCCCGGGGGTGCCTTCTGACCCCCCCTGGCCTCTCTACCTGGATTATTCAAAAGGAGACGCCTAGTCCCCTGGAGCTGGGGCCTCAGGACACCGTCTATTCTGGGGAGTTTGTGTCTGAGTGTTGATATAATTAGCAGAGGGCTGAAAGGCTGTGCAGCCAGCAGGGAAAATGAGAAACCGCGGAGCAGGTTAACTTCTCTGGAAACTTTTGTGGCAGAGGGTTGCTAGCAAACGTGGCAACGCGCTCGGGCAGCTCTGAGCATCCGTGGTGCAGGCAAGGGAGACGTTGTAAGGATTTCCCAGGGAACCTCACCGGGCCCGATGTGAGGTTTCTCCTCTTTCCTTTGGCACCTACAGTGGAGCAGGCTTGAAGTAAAACACGAGGCTTTTACAGAAGTACGTGTGCTATAAAATTCCTCTCTTGGGTTTCACTGTAACCGGAGCATACCTTTTATAGTTCCTTTCCTGCTCTTCCAGGAAGCGTCTTACAGTACCCTCTGTACCAACAGCTAAAGGCTTTTTAATTTTTCCTTCCTCACAGCAGCAAAGAGACATTTAAGCTGTCTCCCATGCCCGTGTATCTCCCTGAGGAGGGGATGAGGGAGGTGGTGATAGCCTTACAGATACCTCTTCCCTTAGAGGCATGTTTGCAGCATCAGTTCCCAGCGAGGGTAGCTGTGTGGTTTGAACATGGTCAAAGCCTGCATCTTAATGAATGTTATGGGGACTTTCTGATCATGCTCGGTTCAGTACGGCGTTGCCATCAGTTGCAGGATTTGCTGTTGCTAGCTTTTTATAGGAGACAAGTAATAAATAGATATTGCAGCGTGTGAAAGACTATGTCTGCCTCAGTGACTGACCTGACCTGGTGACCAGAACCAGTAGATGCCTGTAGCCATGCATGCAGGGTAGATTTAAGTTTTTTGACCTTTTACAGAGCATGTCCAAACAGTGATATAATATATTAAGCTTTGTAACTTGCCAAATCCCAGGCATATTTTCACAAGGACAGCAAAAACAGTTCTCTTGCCCCAGGGTAATGTGCTTCTGAGGAACTTCCAAACAAAGAAAACCAAAAGTCATTCACAGTCTACCTTGTTCTTTAAAAGAGCCTACCCCAGTGTTGCTGCAGCTTGTAAAGTCAGATTGGCTAGAGGTTGATCGGCAGCGCGGAAGGCTGTTGTTCTGCACAGTTAGATCGGTACCAGCATAGCAACAGAAGAGCTCAGGTCCTGGAATGGAAAGTGTTGGGACACCCTGACCGTTGGTGTCTGTTGTCAGCTGCCTCCAGTTTTGCCAGCGTAACCACTGTGAGCTCTTGTTTCTGTAAACACTCCCAGGTGGAAAACGCTATCATTGTGTCTTGGTGTTACCTGGCTTCACTCGGAAGGAGTGGATGACTTGAATGCCCTCCTGGACCCTGTAGGTAAATTGTTTCACGAGATGTCACGTGCAGCTTGCAGTTCAGTCAGGCTGATCCCCAGGTTTCCTGCTTTGCCAGCACATCCCCATTCTTCAGTGCATTTGGTGTCAGGTGGTGGGACGCTGCAAGGCACCTGGACCTGTCTCCCAGCCTTAAATCATTTCAGCCAAAGAACCTGAGCAGCCCCACAAAAGGAAGTGGGTTTGGAGTCAAAATAGTTCCTACTGGTTCCAGCTACTTAGAATATTACGTGTTTATTGCCCGGTTGTTGCTTTTAAGGGCAGTTCTGCACATCAGCTTTGGGGAGAC